GGTTTGTTCCCCAGCAGTACATAAATCATCTGGGGCTGTGGTGCAAGTCTGTAATCCCAGCACTTGGGAGGCAGAGGCAGGAGGGCAGTTCAAGGTCAGGTCAGACAGATGGGTCAGTGAGTGGGCAGAGTGCTTGCTGTCAAGCCCAACTACCTGTGTTCAATCCCCCAGGGTCCACATGGGGGAAAGGTAGAACCAACTCTCCACCGTTATCTTTTGGCCTCCACACTTGTGGTAGTGTGTGCATTCATACACATACTCTCAAAATGTACTAATTAAGGTTAGTTCAAGGTCATCCTTGGCTGTCTAGCAAGTTTGAGGCCAGTCTGTGCTACAGCCTGTCTCAAAAGAAAAAAAAAAAGTGCATATTTCTACTAGGTATGAGGGCACATAACCTGCAATCCTAGCACTTGGGAGGCTGATGCAGGAGGATTGCCACAAGTCTGAGGCCAGCCCAAGCTAATATGTATCAGGCCAGCCAGGTCTACTTTGTTTCCACCCATGCAAAGCACACACCTTTAATCCAGCACTCAGGAGGCAGAGGCTGGTGGGCCTCAGTGAGTTTGAGGCCAGCCTGGTCTACTAAACAAAAAAATGCCTTGAGAGTGTTCTGTAGACTTAGTGTTTCATTGTTGCATATGCTGCCCCATAAATGTTTCCTCCCTCCCTCCCTTCTTCCCTCTCCCTCCTCCTCCCTCCCCCTCCCTCCCTCTTTCCCAGTTTCCCTTCTCCTTTCTGAGACAGTTTTCTCTGTGTAGCCTAGGCTGTCCTGGAACTCTGTAGACCAGGCTGGCCTCTGCCTCCCAAGTGCTAGGACTGAAGGCATGCACCACCGTTGTCTGGCTAAATGTTTGTTTTCTAGAATGAGGTTTTAGTCAGTACTTGAGTAGTCTCTGAGAGGCCAGAGCTACATGGAGGAGGAGCTGAGGGGTCTTGAAGCTTTGGAGCCATTGAATTCTGATCTCCTCAGGGAGGGGTGCAGTGAGGGACAGGTAGCCTCACACATGGGTTGGAGCAGGACATAGTGCACAGACCCTTTAGTTTCAGCTACTGGGGACGTTCTGAAGGGTCTCATAGTAACTGTCACTGCCCAGCTGAAACTCCCAGCTGGAGCCATCATTGATATCCCAGAGTAAGGGCTGGGTAGGGGGTCATGTGAACTGGTTCCTGCCCTCCTGAGTTCTTCTGCCATCCCTCTCCCCAGCTCACTGCTTCCCAGCTGTGCTGGCTGCCCTGATTAGAGAAACCCACCAGTCTATCTCGATGCTTTTGTATTAGGCAGTGACTGCCCGGACAGTGCCTCATGATTCAGGGCTAGGCTTTTATGTCCTTTCTTTTTCTTTCTTCACATTTTTAACATTCTGTTTTAATTTTCATGTCAGGGAATGTTTTGCTTGTGAGTATTATGTGCATATGTGTCCTGCTGCTCAGGGGCCAGTCAGCTCCCTTGGAACTGGAGTCTCAGATGATTGTGAGCTGCTGTGGAACTGGAATTGGAACCTGAGTCTTCTGCAAGAGCAGCCACTGCTCTTAAACTCTCAGCTACCTCTTCTCCTCTTCTACCTCCTCTTCAGCTCCTTTTTCTTTGTTTTTTTTTTTTTTTTTTTTTTTTTTTGAGACGGGGTTTCATTTTGTAGATCAGACAGTCTAGAACTTGTGACGGTATGCCTGTTATATGTGGAGGAAACAAATGTGTGTTTCTTCATTTAGTTTTTGTTTTTGATTTTGGTTTCAGTTTTTCAAGACAGGGTTTCTCTGAGTAACAATCCTGGCTGTCCTCGAACTCACAGAGATCTGCACATCTCTGCACCACCACTGCCCATCTTCCCTTAATTTTTTAATATGTATTTGTATGTGCTCTTCATGTGCTAGTGCCTGAGGAGGATAGACGAGAGTGTCCAGTCCTTGAGGGTTACAAGCAGCTTGTTATGAGCTACCCAGTGTGAGCTCTGGAAACCAACTCCTCAGAAGGAGTAGCAAGCACTTGGAATCACTGAGTGGATTTTCCACTCCCACCCACTCCCCACCCCCACCTTTTTTATTGAGACATGTTCTTGTCATGTAGCCCAGACTGGCCTGGAAGTCACTATGTAGCCTGAGCTGGCCTTGAATTTACCACCCTCCTGGTTTAGCCTCCTGAGGGCTGGGATTACAGGTGTGTGCCACCAGGCCATGCCAGATGTTGACTTGCTTTTATGAAAGGTCATGGCTTGTGTGGTAGATTTGAATCTGCACCCAAACCTGACATTCTTACTAACTTCTTTCTTCTCTAGGCTCCTTAGCCCTCCCCTCCCCTCCCCTCCCTTTCCCTGTACTTCTGGCTGTTTTTTCTGAACTCCACCTAAGGGTTGTGTCTGGGCCAATTCTTTGTTCTGGTGCCTGGTGAGCACTTACTCTCAGGATGTCTTTCCGTCATCAGGGAAGAACTCTAGGCTGAGGGAACTGGTCTGGGCCCTGCTGTTTCTCAGCGTTTCTAACCACATTGCTGAAGTGGGAAGAAAGTTCTATAGGCAGTGTGGGGCTGAGCTCCTGAGTGGAGTGGCAGCCACTCTGATTCCATGGGCATCTCCCTGGCTTCGCATTATGGGTTGTATTCTGAAGCCAGCTCTATCCCTGCCATCCTCACAGGCAGCCCTGGGCTCCTGCCTGGTTTTCCATGAGCCGAACTCTTTCCTCAGAAAATTACCTTATTCTCCAGCATGGCTGGGTCTTGGGTGTGGGCACCATGCCAAGCCTGGTCTGGTGGCTCTTCCATTTGCCATCTGGTTGCTGGGACCCTTCCCTTAGCTCTGGCACCCAAATGGTTTGACAGGAACTTAGGGGCAGGGTCAGTGACCCACAGCTAGAATTGTGTGCCATCTCTATACTGCCTCCAGTCATACTCAGTAGCAAAGCATCCAGTCTCTGGGCCTCAGTTTCCCTGCATCCTGCTTGGGGGTAGTGGGGTGGGGTTAGTGGATGGGCGGGATCTGTGGCAAAGGTGGGAGGAGAACCTGGAGCAGCCCCTCCCCCTCCTGCTGGAACTGTGCTGGGCGGCTGGCAGGGAGCTTGCTTTGCATCCCTGCATCTCCCGAGTCCCCTTGGGGCTGGGCTGTATTGAAAGTGCTGTCTGGTGCTCTGGGGGCCATCTGGTGCTCTGGGGGCCTTCTGCTGCAGACATGGTAGTGTTCCTGGGCCGACACCTCCCAGCCCTTCTTGAGGTGTCTAAGAAGGGTGAGTGGGTGTGGCTGTGGGGAGGGGGAGGGGAGGGTGACAGCTCCCTTTGCCAGACTCTTCGGTTAGTGAGGACCAAGGCTAGGGTGTGGGGCGGGGTGCTGGTCACCGGGCTGGCCGCAGCCTGAGTGCAGCCATGCTTTGTCCAGCGGCTTTGTTGCTGCCTTTGTCTGAGTGCTGCTTGTGATCGGCGAGGATGGATCAGGTGTTCTGACCTTGGAGGCTGCTGCCCTAGAGCCTGCCTGCCTTTCTGTTGGGATACCCACACTTTCCTGGGTATAGCTCAGTATCTCAGTTTAGAGAGGGCAGCCTCCTCCTTGGTCATCTCAGGGGTGGGGAGGATGTATGGGAGCGGCAAGGGCAGAGTCCCCTGGGAAGCACACTTGGAGGAGGCAGTTTTGAAGGTGGAGGCCAGGCGCACTCCGTTCCCTAGGAGCCTGGCTTTCAGACCTGGCTTCTGACTTGGAGGAGCTATAGTTTCTTGCACTATTGGAGGGTCGGGTTCCTTCTGGGAAAGCAGACTTTAGTCCTGGCTGGCTGAGCCATTTGCTGTGACTGTAGGCAAACATTTCCATGTGAGCCTGTTTCTCCACCTATAAAATCATGGAATTTGAGGAAAGGGTGGGCGGGACACCCATGACCTCCTGGGGTACCTCATAGCTCTGACTTGGTACAATTCCTGGGGCTTCTGGGGGCAGGTCCATTGGTGCGGAAGAACCCAGAGGGGAAATGGCAGGTGTCTGCTGGAGACCCAGTTCGTGGGGTGGGGTAGCTAAAAGGCTTGTTTGGGTCAGTTAAAGAGCTGTTGTTTTGTTTCTGCCCCTCTTCAGGGTACTGCCAAGGTCACATGACCCACCCAGCGCTTTTTGCTTATGTTGTGGCTTTCATTTAAAGAGGGGCTGGACTGCAAAGTGCTGACACAGCCCCCATCCTCAGGATTAGATGACTAGCCCCTCTGGGCAGAGCCTGTAACAGGATCCTTGTAATGGAGCCCTGGCTCCTCTGGACCTGGGGCCAGGCTAGGGCCTCCAGGAGAGCCCATACCTGGCCTGTTCCCTCAGGAGAGGCTAAGCTCCCAGTGGGAGTTGAGGGGTCTGATCCCTCTTCTCCCCTTCCCTGCCCATCCTTCTAGAGGGCAGCCATATGGGTAAGTAGGTGTCCTGGTCTATCCTTCCCTCAGGGTTTCTGAGACTCTGATTGTGACTGACAGCTCCCTGGTTTTCCATGCATCTTCTCCTTGGACTTGGGCCAAGGGGCAGTTTGGAGAAGGTGGTTTGTTTTCCTTTAAAGTGAAGCTTTAGGTCTCAGAGACAAGAAATGTGTTTGCTGTGGGCTCTGAATGTGTGAGGGGTGTCTGTGTGGAACCCTGAGTGACCTATGGATGCAGTTTATATGTACTTAGATACTGTTAGTTTGTATGCAGAATGGTGTCATGTGGGTCTGTGGAAGCTGGTGTAGCTACATTTGTGGATTTATACTTGTATAGTGTTGTATGTATACATTACTGAAGCCTGTGAATGTTGTGTGGATATAGTGGGCCTGTGTATTGACCTTGTGTGGTCCCATTATATGATGTAATTACACACACACGTACACACACACACACCCTTTGGTGTTGTTAGTGTGTGTACATGTGGTCTGTATGTCTAGACAGTTTCTCAAGGGTAGACATTTGAATGTATGGGCACTACATGCCTGTGTTACTGTGCATATGAATCTTATGAATCTCCAGGGCCCATATGTGTTTGGGCCTTACTTCCTCCTCCCATCCCATCCCATCCCATCAGGCTCTGCCAAGGCTGAGAGTGACAAATGTCAGAGTGCAGGGCCCAGCCAGGGGTCAGGATCTGCAGTAGATGAGCACCAGGACAATGTCTTCTTCCCCAGCGGGAGACCACCTCACCTGGAGGAGCTGCACACACAGGCCCAGGAAGGGCTCCGCTCCCTACAGCACCAAGGTAACTCTCCCTTGTCCTTTCTGGTGCTGCTCCCAGCTCCTGGGGGTCAGGGGCCTAGGCCAACACACCCTTCTGGTATCTTCTAGAAAGACAGAAACTGAGCAAGGGTGGCTGGGACCATGGAGACACCCAGAGCGTCCAGGTGAGCCCTGTGCCCAGCTCTGCCCTGCTCTTTCCTCCTGGCTTAGCTCTGGCATGCATGGCTTTGGGCCTCTCTGGACTGGTTTCTTCTGTATGTTGAGGAGGTAGATGAAATGACCTTTGACAGATAGTCCAGACTTGCTCCATCTGGTACCTGCTCAGTGCTGGGTGATGCTGGGAGAATCTGTGAGGGAAAGTTCCAGTGAGAGGCCTAAGGCAGTCTGTCTAAGCTGATCTTATTCCAACAGTCCTCTCGGACGGGGCCGGATGAAGACACCATTTCCTTCTGCAGTCAAAAGTCGTACATGACTGAGAGCTCTACAGCGGAAGATGCTCTCTCTGTCCGCTCAGAGATGATCCAGCGCAGAGGTGTGTTCACCTGCCAGGAGTCTTAGGCAGGGGAGAGTGGAGAGAGGTGACAGGCACAATCATGTCCTAGTACCTTGGGCTTCCCCTTTTCCTCCTACTCGAGTTTAGGAGACAGTACCCTTTATCCTCTTGGAGGTTCATGGTGGACACTGACCCAAAGCAAGATAATTTAAGGTTGAGGGACCCGGATTTGTGGTAACTTCGCTGCAGTATGACCAGGAATATAAAACCTTCACCTCTCTGAGTCTGACTGAAGTTCTATAAAAGATAAAGGGTTGGCTTGGGATATAGCTCAGTTGATATTGTGCTTGCCCTTGTATGCAGGAAGTTCTGTGTTGACTCTGACATTATATAAAACAGTGTGATAGTATGCACTTGGGACATAGAAGCATGAGGATCAGAAGAAATTCATCTACAGCTACATAGTGAGTTAGGAGCTGGCCTAGATTGTGTGAGACCTTCATCTGAGAAAAGAAGCCAAAGGGTTGGCTAGGGACTGACTGCCTCAGAGGGCATGCATGAGGCTCTCGGCTCAGTCTCCAGGACCTTGCTCCAAACAAATCAGATATTAAGAGCATTTACCCTATTGGAATGAATATCAAGCTTTTAATATGATGACATAATATGTTCACTAAGTAATGAGAACTGTTCGCTCAATGGAAAGATCATTGTTGAATTAGTGAGGGGATTTCCAGAAGTCTTAAAGAAACCTTGCCAGAACCCTTACTAGTACTGTGTTCATACAGGGCAGTGCTCAGTAGAGCGTTCAGAGTCCTCACTGCTTTCTCCCCCCTGGACTGGCCCTTAGGCTCCACCTTCAGACCCCATGACTCATTTCCCAAATCTGGAAAATCAGGGCGGCGACGGAGGGAGCGGAGGAGTACGGTGCTAGGGCTGCCTCAGCATGTGCAGAAGGAACTTGGTGAGCCTTTGTTCGGTGGGCAGCGGTGGTGGGCGGAGCGCCTGGCCAGCCCCTCTGCTGACTGCATCTCCTTGTCTGTTTCAGGCCTGCGGAATAATCGTGAGGCTCCAGGCACTCCACAGCCTCCTGGTCCACGGGATGCTGTCCGCATTCCCACAGTGGATGGTCGTCCCCAGGGCCTGGCTTTAGGGACAGGGGTCCGGGTGTCCCTGCAGGCTCTGGAGGCAGAAACAGAGGCTGGCACTGATGCAGAGACCATACTACAACGCCACATTGACCGTGTTTACCATGATGACACACTTGTTGGCCGATCTACAGGAGCCCGGCCACCACCATTGACTCGGCCTATGTCTCTTGCAGTGCCTGGACTGACAGGAGGGGCGGGACCTCCAGAGCCACTGAGTCCAGCCATGTCTATCTCACCCCAGGCCACCTACTTGTCCAAGCTGATTCCACACGCTGTGTTGCCACCCACAGTGGATGTGGTGGCTCTGGGCCGTAGCAGCCTGCGCACTCTGAGCCGCTGCAGCCTGCTGTCTGCTAGTCCAGCTTCTGTTCGCTCACTGGGCCGTTTCTCCTCAGCCTCAAGTCCACGGCCCCGCAGCCGACATGCTTCCTCATCCAGCGACACCTGGAGCCATTCTCAATCCTCTGAGACCATTGTGTCTGATGGGTCCACTCTCTCCTCTAAGGGGGGCTCTGAGGGCCAGCCAGAGGGCTCTGTAGCTAGCAATAATGTGGCACCCCCTCCTCCAGGGGGTAGTGGGAGAGGATCTCCCAGTGGGGGCAGCACTGCCGAGGTCTCAGACACAGCCAGCATCCGCAGCAGCGGGCAGTTGTCTGGCAGGAGTGTGTCCCTGCGGAAGATGAAACGGCCTCCCCCGCCTCCCCGCCGAACTTACTCCCTCCATCAGCGGGGCTCAGCAGTACCCGATGGGCCCTTAGGGCTGCCACCCAAACCTGAGCGGAAGCAGCAGCAGCCGCAGCTACCCCGGCCACCCACCACAGGTGGGTCTTCAGGGGTGGCAGCAGTGCCCTCCTGTCCACCCAGCTCAGCAGGCAGCTGGGGCTCTGGCTTGTCTCCAGGTGGCTCCAGGCGCCCCCCACGTTCTCCAGAACGGACACTTTCACCTTCCAGTGGATACTCAAGCCAAAGCGGTACCCCAACTCTCCCTCACAAGGGTCTGGCAGGTGCCCCTGCTTCCCCAGGCAAGGCTCAGCCCCCTAAACCAGATCGAGTGACATCCCTTCGATCTCCTGGGGCCTCTGTGTCCTCTTCCCTCACATCTCTGTGTTCCTCTTCCTCAGACCTTACTCCCTCTGACCGCTCTGGCCCACAGATGTCCACCCCCTTGGGTGACAGATTTGTCATACCTCCTCATCCTAAGGTGCCTGCCCCTTTTTCTCCACCACCTTCCAAGACCAAGAGCTCTAACCAAGCTGTCCCTGTTGTGGCTACCCCTGCTGTAGCTACCCCAGCTCTGGCTCCTGGGCCCGTTTCTACTATTGACACCAGTCCTGCTGCATCCCCTTCCAGGCCTCAGACAACCCTGACTCCACCCCAGGAGTCTTCCATTGCCCCCAAAGACCAGTCACCCCCGCCATCTCCACCTCCATCTTATCACCCACCTCCACCGCCTAGTAAGAAGCCCGAGGTGGTTGAGGAGGTCCCACCTACTCCAGAGGCGGCTGAGGAGTCCATCCCAGATTCCAGCTGGCCACCACCACCACCACCCGCACCTGAGGAACAGGACCTGTCCATGGCTGACTTTCCCCCGCCTGAGGAGGTCTTCTTCTCTGCAGGCCTGGAGCCTGGCCCTCTGGAGCCCCGCAGCTCCCCGGCTGCCACCCCTTCAGCTGTTAGCTCATCCCAAGCCTCACCCCAGCATACCCAAATCCCTCCACCAGCTCCACCCGCTCCACCTCCAGCTCCAGCTAGTTCTGTGTCAGAACCTTTGGCCAAGCTCCCTCAGAAGGACTCTGTGGGCAGGAACAGTGGGGCTCCCAGGGAGGATGCTGGCACACCTCTGGTCACACCCTCACTCCTGCAGATGGTACGGCTCCGCTCTGTGGGTGCTTCCACGGGGGCTCCAAGTTCACCTCCAGGGTCATCAGCTCCACAGAAGCCACTTCGGAGAGCCCTGTCAGGGCGGGCCAGCCCGGTGCCTGCTCCCTCCTCTGGGCTGCATGCTGCCGTCCGACTCAAGGCCTCCAGCTTGGCTGCCACTGACAGCCCTGCAAGTACCCCGCCCATTGGACCACCAGAGGCAGAGCCAAGGTCTCCACAATCGCCTGCCTCCACGGCTAGCTTCATCTTCTCCAAGGGCACCAAAAAACTGCAGCTCGAGCGGCCTGTGTCCCCCGAGGCCCAGGCTGACCTCCAGCGGAATCTGGTGGCTGAACTCCGGAGCATTTCAGAGCATCGGCCCTCTCAGGCCCAGAAGAAGCCTTCCAAGGCTCCCCCACCTGTGGCCCGAAAGCCCTCTGTGGGAGTCCCTCCTCCCTCCCCCAGTTTTCCTAGGCCTGAGTCTCTTACTGCTCCAGCCACCAATGGGCTCCCTCACGCTGAGGACAGGACTAAGGGGGAGCTGGCCGAGAACGGAGGTGTGCAGCTGGCTGGTACAGAGAAGATGCCCCGCCCTGGTTCAGGTACTGTAGGCGCTGGTGTAAAATCAGTTTCCTGGGGGTCTACCAAAGGAGGGAATGTTTTTGGATCTGGTTTTGAGATGTCTGGGATAAGTGGACTCCATCTTTAAATTAGGGATAGGAAATCACAGGAAGAAGGGAGGGATAGGTGGAACACAAACACTGGTAGCAGATGTATGTTCAGTTTTGTCACGCCATTTCCCATCTCAGTTATGTTGCAAAATTTTGGGCAGAGACACATATTCCAGTCTGTCTGATGTGTCCAGCCCCATGTCAGTCAAGCGAGGGGATATAGAATGGTCTTAGGTTTATTGTCAGAATCGAGCTGGGAAGCTTGCTGAGTGTCACTTTCCTCACAGATCCGTAGAAGAGACTGGTCTGACCATCATCCACTGGCACTGCTGACCCATCCCAGGAATACAATCTCTCAGGGACCTGAGCAGCTCCAGGGAAGAGAGGATATGGCATACAGCCTAAGAAAGAGTGCCTGCAGCCTTAATCTCCACAGCCTTCCATGTTTATGCAAGCCTGGTGTTGCCCATCCTCCAAGTCACCCCTCCCTCATGCCTTCTGAAAGGATTCACCTCCAGCAGCCTGTCAGCCTTGGCCTTAGCCTCATCTTGAAGGTAGCTGGTGGGAGTGGGTGACTGTGCCCCCACCTCCGCCCAAGGCCACAGAGGTGGGAGCAGAACATGTTTATTTTGTTTCATGTCGGGAATCATGTATATTGTAGTCCAGAGTCAAAGCACTTTGCAAAGTGGCTGTGTGTGCATCCTCCAGGACTCATGAAACCACATTCCAAGAGCCTGTTTACACACTGGCAGCACCAGTCCTTGGTAGCCAGCTCCAGCTGGGACCAGTCTGTCCATTCTGCCAGTCCAGTCCACTTCTTTCCTTAGTTCTTGGAGATGGGCAAGTCATCTCCACAGGCTTCCCAGGCCGGTGGCAGGAGTGAGGCTGTGGAATTTCCAAAGCACAAAAGGCACAGACGGCGGGGCTAGCCTTCCTGTGCCTCACCTTACCACACAAACCACTCTCCTGCCTTCCAGTTCCGTCAGGTGCTCCTCTTTATAAGGAGGTTCATGGATGAGGGGAGGAAGAAGCAGAGGTCTGTGGGCACTGTGCACTAAGAAACCAAAAAGCAGACCAGAGCAGGTAGCCATCTGGGATCTTGGCATGCTGGGTACCTGTCCTGTGACACTTGATTGGGTCTGGGTGGATGGGCACAGCTTCAGAGCCAGGAGCTCATGAGATGTGTCCATTTCACTCTGACAAGGAATCCTGCCAAGATGAGAGGAGAGCCTGGCAGGGCCTTAGTTGGGCAGTGGGCCCAGGCCTGACCTTCATCCTTTGTCTGACCTGTCTCTACTCTTTGGTGCATGTCCTCTCTGCAGCTGCCTTTCAGCCAGGTGGAGGGAGCTGAGGCTGGGTGGCAAGGATGGGAAGCCAAGGGGGTATCTTGGGCCAGATTCTTCCCTAGTCCAAGAGGGGATACTCAGTGATCCTAAGTGGGCAGTCTGGTGGCTATCCCAGATAGCAGTCTTTGCTACTAATCTCTCTTCCCGGAATTTAATGACTTATTTTCAGTCTAGACCACCTCTCTAGGTAGGCTGGAGTCCCTGTCAGCCCCCATGGCTGTGCCTCTTTCCTGGAGGGCCACCTCTTGAGTCTTTTCTATGGGGGGCTTGAGCCTGGCAAGAGAGCTTGCTTTTAGCTTCTCCACTACCAAGAAGAGAGTGACACTATCCTTGCTACTGACTTTCCCATCAAGGAACGGGTGAGGGTCCAGGTCCCTTAGCCCCTCTTGCTGGGACTGCTTGTTTGTCACTGTCTTTCCCTTGCTCAGCGTGTGATGGGGACTGCTGCTGGGTGGATGTCACTGTCCCATGAGATGGGGAGGGAGGACAATCAATTAGTAAGCACTGTTCTGCCCCAGGATCCAGGACTAGTCTGGAAGCTGCTGGGGGTGGGGAAGCAGCACCCCCCCCCCCAGTGTCACTGGAGCTCTTGCCCTGACCTTCTCTGCTTGTTTCCCCCACTGGGTGGGCCAGAAGAAAGGAGACTCTTAAGAGGGACAGCCTCTCTTTGTTCTCTGGGGTAAATAAGCTTGACCCTGTGCAAATGGAGAGACCAAAAGCCTCTGATTTTTAATTTGCATAAAAATGTTAGAAGAGACAAATATATATATATATATTTCCTTAAATTTTTGAGCCTTTGATATGTCTATATAAACAGTTCTCTCCCCACTCCCACTCTGAAGCTTGAGTGAGACACACGACAAAGCTGTGTTTCATTAAAAGGTATTAAATAAATGATTGAAACTTGGCTGTGACTACTCTTTTCCAGACACTGACAGCAGGTAATATATGTAACAAGATTGAGGAACGCACACCTCACAACAGCATGAATCTATTCCCAGGCTAATGAACCACAAAGACCTGGCTGTGTAAGGACAGGACAGTGCTCTGGGCCTCAGTCAGAAGAGGTGGTATCTTGCCTGCTGCCAGCACAGGCCCAAGAGTGAACCTCTTGCTTAATGCTGAGCAGGAGGAACTCAGGTGTCCATTATCTATCCCTGTTGCCCCATGCCATTTATAGGGCCAGAGTCAGTGGTCCCAGGTTAGGTGACACAGCCGCTGCTGTATGCTCATGCTATCTCCTAACATGGTGTGGTTCTGAGGAATCCATCCAGATGCCCTTGTTCAGACACTTTATTTGAATTTGACAGTGGCGATTAGTGATTTGATTGAGATGCCTTATGAAGTATCCCACATTCTGAAGAAAGCACCACACTGTGTCAGTCCATTCCTGTCCTGCTGCCGACACACATCTGGTTTAGAAAGTGTTCCAACCTAGCCAGATCAAGGGAAACCCCAAGAGAGCTGGGGCAGATCCTGCCACTGGTGCCAAGCCTCAGGGTAGGCAGGCCTTAGAATGCTGCCAGCCCTGGGAAGCTTGGTAGACTTCTAGGCTGTTTCCCCTTCTTTTCAAATCCCACAATTTCCTGTTGGGGAGAAACTGTAATTAGCCCAGACCAGGCAATAGATCCCAGCTAGATGTACAGCTGTGGGGATAACCCCTTGGAAACTTGGGAACCAGTATTTTTCCAATTACAAGGACGGGTAGAATAAACTCTATTGGCTCTATTGAAACCAGATTTTTCAAGTCAGCTGCCAAGGGAAGGAGGTGCTGCTGGGTAGCCGTCCTTATCCCAAGCGGCCAATCTCCTTGTAGTCAGGTGGGATGACCCCAGAGGGTAGGAAGGTGAGCTATCCCTTACCAAGTCCCATGTCTAATTAACAGTTTCAGACCTGGAGTTTCAGTGTCCTGAGATGGGAATGGGTGACAGATGACAAGTTGAGACAGCAGGTAGCATGTTGGGAGGAGGATGCGGGGCCAGTTAGCTAATGTTACCCCCTTTCAGTGATTTGCAGGAGATGGACCCCAGCTTAGTCATAAAGTTGGTTTGTTTCCATTGCGCAATGCACTCCTCAGAAATTCTAAAATCAGCCTGGATAAGACAGACAAAAAAATAAAATAAACTTATGGTGGTGGAGCATATAATTCTTACATATTATTAGCAGGAACTGGCCCAACTTTTTGATTTTGGTTTTTGAGACAGGGTCTCCCTGAGTAGTCCTGGCTATTCTGGAACTCAAAGATCTATCCGCCTCTGCCTCCCCAATGCTGGGATTAAAAGCATGCACCATCATCAACTGGCCCAGTGTTTCTGAGTACAGCTCCCTAAAGGTTACTATGTTCTTAGCCTTTAACAGGCACATTCATTTCCATGGATAAAGACCAGGACTTCTAGACTGTGATCACCACAGCACTGGTATGTGTGTGTGTGTGTGTGATGGTGCCAGGGACCCAAGCTAAGTGAGTGCTCTGCTACTAAGTACATGCAAGCTGGTTATAGCAGGCTAATAGGCCCCAGTACACTATACACATGGTCCCTCCTGATATTTAATATGAGGAAACACTTTCAGGGATCAGAAGCAGATTAACCTGAATGCCCCTCTGTCCATAAAAGATCAGAAGGAAACAATCAAGGCTTATTTTAGTAGCCTTGATAGGGCTGGAAATACATGTCCATGTTTTTTGTTTTGAGAAGGAGCTCACTGTATAGCTCTGGATGGCCTGGACCTCTCCTTTTAAGCCACACTGGCATGAATTTGGGGGCAGTCCTCCTATCTCTGCCTCTTAAGTACTGGAATTCCATATAGGCACCAGCATACACCGCAGAACTATGGATTTTCTCTTCATTTTAGCCTTGTATTTAAGAAAGTTTCTATAATATCTGTTCCACAAAGAGCCAATTTGTTCCAATGGTGTAGTCCAGGCATTTAGGACAATGCCTGATATATACATTCGGAGCAGCTGTATTCTTATTAGTGAATGCTCTCAATGCTCCTGGGCAGGAGGGACTCTCACTTGCTTTTATCATTTATCTGTTGTGGTATGGAGGGTCAAAGCCTGAGGTAAATGGGGATAACCTGTGTTGCTTTCTTGGACTATGACCACAGGGACGAGGAAGTCTCAAGTCCCTCCCTCAGTGCTTCATGTCAGCACTCTGCATATGCAGGGCCCTCCTGAGACAATAAGACCCTCACATTCATTCAGATCTAAATAGAGATGAAGGGACTCAGCTGCAGAAAGGTCAACTGGGAAAGAGGCAACTGCTGATTCAGTAACAGCACTCTGGGGCAGCTTGGGCAAAGGAGGACAGTGGCATTTTACCTGCAGCTTCTCAAAGACTTTCTTCTTGGGCTTGAGCTCCTCGTCTGGTTGGCCCTTCTCATAGCCCTTTACAAATACTCGTTCACCAGGAGCAGAGCCTGCAGGAGGGTCCAGCGGTTCAACCTGGCGGCTCACCCCTTCTCTGGAAAGACACAGGGCAAAAGGCAAGATGATGGGTTTCCCAACAGCTGTGGATAAAGTGACTGGGGACCTACAGGGGTTTAGGATGCCCTCAGTGCCATTGCCCGGGGGCTCTGGCCACTTTCCCACATCTCTGAACACGTAACCCAGGATTATATTCAATTCCTTTTTTTCTGGAAAGAGGAGTGTCTGGGTCTCCAGCAATGAGTCTGTACCTAATCTCAACAGGTCTGCATCCTGGCTCCACCCGTCACTAGTAGTGTGACACTCACGTTTATGCTTGTTTGTTTGCAGAGTCTCAGGTAGCCCAGGCTATACCTGAACTGACCCCTCTTCTACTTCCCTGGTGCTGGGATCATGGGTGTGGGTTACCACACTCACTTTTATGAGGTGCTGGAAATCAAACCCCCAGCTTTTGCCAGCTAGGCAAGAGGTCCACCAGCTGAGCTGTATCCAACCTCCATCCTTTCTTTTGGTGAGACAGTCTTACTGTGTAGCTCAGGCTGGTCTAGAACTTGAGATGTAAACCAGGCTTATAGAGACCATCCTTCCCAAGTGCTAAGATTAAAGGTAGGTGCTGCCGTGCCAAGCATCCATCATTTTGTATTTTATTTTTTAATTAAAAAAATTCTTTTTCAAGGCAGGGTCTCACTCTGTAGCTCTGGAACTGACTATGTAGACCAGGCTGGCCTTGAACTCCCGGTGATCTGTCTATCTCTGCCTCCCAAGTGCTGGAATTAAAGGCATGTTCCACTGTGCCCTACTACCTGTCTAGTTTTATCTTAACAATTTAACTTTTATGCAAGGTATTTAATTCACAGTACTTTCATGCCTTGTCTTTTAGCATCAGTGTGGCAAGGGGCATTTTCTGGGCTTGCACATGGCACATGGAAGGGCGTCCTCCCCAGGTCTTGGTCCACCAAGTCCTCACTCACGTGGAAGCACACAGTAGCATGCCTTGGGAGTCCACTCCTCTCATCTTCTGGGGTTTTAGATTGCACAACACCACCACCAGCCTGTCCTGTAGTTCTTCTTTGGGCACAAACTGTACAAGGCCGCTCACCACAGTCCTGGGCTCAGCTTCCCCCACATCAATTTTTTCCACATACAGGCTATCTGCATCTGGGTGCTGCCAGCAAGAAATTCTTGTCAGAAGGCCAGAGAGATGGCCCAGTGGGTAAAGGTGCTTGCCACCAAGCCTGACCTCCTGAGTTAGATCCCCAGGTGCCATATGGTGGAAGGAGAAAGGAGTCCTCTAATCTCCACACATGAAGCATGCATATTCCCCTCAGCCCCCAATATACACATAAATAAATGGGAGATAACCACAGTGGAGTA